GGAAACCCGGACATCTCAGCGTTCAGCCTGGAGGCAGGCGTTGCATCACGGCCTCTCCCAATTTGAAGAGACCCTTGTCCAGCAGGCCGAGTCAAAGAGGAAGTCACAAAAGCAGCAAAACCAGGGAGCTGGACAGGGTACAGATTGTATTTGTCTTCAGTGTGGAAGGGATTGTCACTCTCGAATTGGCCTCCTCAGCCACACTAGACGCTGTTCCAAGTCCTCCATACAGAGCACGTTAACCATAGTGTCTTGAGACTGAAGGATGCCTAACATGTTTTGGTGGTGGAGTCACTTGGGACTACAAACAACTCTGTGCCATCACATCCTTACGGTGCTTTCCATGTTTTTGCTGGCTATCTCCACAATCCCTAACATGTCCATTTGCATTATGAAACAGAAGCAACAAAAGCATGCCCAATCCTGCAGCCCTTATCCAAAGGAATACTCGGACGTTAATACTAAAAATAATGAAAATGATAAGCAAATCCATTCCTTTATTAGCCAAATGTTGTTACTGTTTTGAGTTGAAATCACACAATTGCCCAGTATGCACACAATAAAGATACAGATCAGCCTTTCCTAATTTCCCACTACTAAAAAAGTGCCGTTTGATATATAAGATGTATCTCTTATGATATATTGTACATGCTTTGCTTTTTATCAGTGATAATTGCAGGTGTTTTATTATAATAAAAGACTGTGTTTTCACAAAGTCTTTCCAGCTGTATATACCGTTACAACATAGTTTTTATAAAACTCAAAACTGGAGCACTCAAGAGGGGATCTTTAAACAAATTATTAATTTCAATGAAGTTGACTTCTAAAAAACAAATGAAATTATGTTCCAGAAAAAGTTTGATCATTTAAAAAAAAACTCATCTTCACAGTTGGAAGTGAAACATAGCATGGGAATTTAAGGCTACTATTGTGATTGCTGAAGCATTTGCTGTATTAATTTAGAAGCCACGGTATGTCTCCATTTGCTGTTCTGGAAGTGGGGTGAGGGAATTATTTTTTACAGTGATTCATAGGACATCCTTCTACTGTACAATTTTTTACCAAGGGACAAAACTGAAACAAACCATTCCTCTTTCAGGATGAACAATGCTCTTTATGTTTACTCAGAACTGACTGTATTCAGCGGCATTTAACTATACCCAACCGTGCTGAATTTGCATAGGAGAGCAGCTCTACACAAAGTGATACAGTAGATAACGTGACAGGCTAGGACTCAGGAGACCTCAGTTTGAATCCCTGCTCTGTCATGGAACATCATGTGTGTGTGTGGCACTGGTAAAACCACTCTTTAAAATTTCTCACTTACCTTGAAAAGCCCTATCAGGGTCACTGTAAGTTGGTTCCAACTTGATGACATATAAAGCAGACGACTGCACACATAGCTATAGGGCAGCAGCAGACATTACTAATAGCTGCAGAATGTATTTGGCCAATAGATTATAGCTGAAAGCATGCCAGTATCAGAAAGACGGACTGGGGCTGTCTTATTTGAGAAAATCAGACTTGAAAGAATTTGTGAAGGGCAGTAACAAAACAAAAATGGTGAATTTGTAAATAATGAAGTGAGAAACATTCCTGCTGTACATCAGAGGATTTTAACAGCTAAGGAATTCTGTCTTCTAATTACAGGCTGTTTCTGTCCCTAGTTGGGTAAGTAGGTTTTTGCATCGAGAATTTTGCAAGATGTGAGCCAAACATAGTTCATTCTGTAGTTTGTTGGATGCAACAGGATAAATCCACTGACAAAATTGTTTTTCTCAGGAGAACAGGGGCAGGACACTGCTCTTATTCCTACCCTGTAGTCACTTGTGAAGCCCCAAAAGCTGACTGAGATAGCTGGGGAGCCCTCCAGAGACATTTCTGAATGGTGGTAAGGATTGTGGGTGAAAAGAAAGGCAATTCTGTTGTGCTAGTGCTTCAATGACAGCATTGTGTTGGATTTGGACCATTAGGTTTTCAATCCTCTGAATGCGTCTGCCAGAATAAGCCCCACTGAGCACAGTGAGATGTAGTTCTCAGCAAGCATACAAATGATCAGGATGTACATTGCCCATGTGAAGTACTGTGAGCTAATGCTCTTTTTCACATTAGAGAAGGAACCACCTATGAAGTTCATCTGTATTATAAACCAGCACTGAACATTAATTTATATTTTACTCCCTGGCTGATAAAACTGTCTAATCTGCATGCATTGCATTCCAGGATCTGATCTTGCAACATGACTTACTAACCTCCCTGTATGCCCCAATTAATTGATTAAGATGATATAGCTCAATGAGTATGTCTAACAGAAATAAGTGAAGACCTAAGTAATTTGGTCTGAAAGGTTAATAAATCCAACACAGTCATTACAAAGTACTGTACTGATAGGACCACTTAGAAAAGAGGTTGGAAGGTGAGTTAATAAAAGTGACTTCCCAACTTCCATCCATTTGGAAAGAGTTCGTTTCCTGCACAGCCCCTGCCTGTCTGCCATGGAGCCTCAGCATGTTGGAAAGGATTCTGGAGCACACTCTAATTGATTTGTACAAAGCAAGAGTCATGCATGTTGGGCCTAATCATCAGTCTATTCCACGAGGCATTTCCCTGGAACTGCACTTCTGTGAAAGGACAAGCTTCTTCTTGAGAACTGTCTATTATGTACTGATTTTCTCACTTTGGAAGTCCTGGTGCATTTCCAAGGGTCTCCAGACTTTCTTGGAACATGGTCTGCTCATCACAGATTATAAACAAACCATCATGGTACCAAATCTGCACAGTTGCAAAGTTATTTGAGTCACCTTGTTCTTCAGTCTGGACAGTCATTGTTATTTGCCCACATTGACAAAATTCCAAGTAGCATACAGGTTGTGCTACTTGAGTGCCAGTCATTTAAAGTGTGTGAAATAAAACCATGCGGATTTAGTCACTAAAGAAACATCTACAAATTTCTGGGGGTTTTCTTGTTGTTTGCCTGTTCATAAATATTTACCAAGGATAACCAATTTATAGAGACAAAAATGCCAACACAGATTACTAAAACACAAGCCCAGTTTGTCTTGCAATGAATTAGACAAGAATGCATTGTGATAAATGCAGAAATTGGAATTTTTTTTTACTACAACTACTAGAGTAGTACTACACCTTCTAGGAGTTGTAGTAATAATCCTGCTGCCTAGGGGATACTGGGAGTTGTAGTTTCAGAATGTAACTATTTCAGCTTCTGGGTGATGGTAGGTGCTTGATTTGTTTTCACTGTTTATAGAAGCACTTTGTATAATTACCAGCACACTGAGCTAGGTACCTGGCTGCAGACTAGAGGTTGGGAGTTTGATTCCCCACTGTGCTTCCAGGGAGAAAAGCCAGCCTATGTGGCCTTAGGCAAGCTGCACAGTCCTAGGGTGCCCCCAAAAGAATCGAATGGTAAACCATTTCTGAGTATTCTCTACCTGGGAAACTCTGAAAAGGGCTGCCATATGGCAGAACTGACTTGACAGCGCATGCTTATTATTAGAGAGCTTAACCTTACTAGAGAAAGACCAAAAAAGAAAAAAAATTAGAGAAGAAATTTCCACCTTTTTAGATTTCACTTCTGAACGACTTGCTGGATGACCGATGACTCATCCAATATATAACCTCTACTTTGTGTTTCTGGCAACTTGTTTTGATAATTTCCCCTTCTTTAAGGACACCAGATGTCCATGAGTTATTTCCATCTACCATACTAATAATTGTGGCAATTCAGCTTGTCACAGAAGCTTTATTTCCTTCTATTCCATGCAGAAAAATAACAACTACGAGGCAGTGATCGGCATGGTGTGATATTTTGGTGCATATTGTGTTTGATTTGCAGTTAGCTACCTTTTTGTTATTGATGTTAGAGGACACAGAGCAGAAGGACAGCCTTTTCAAGTCAGTTTAATGCAGCCAGTATCCAAGAGACTGAGGATGATTATGTAATGTAATTTTCCATAAACAATGGAAGGTCACTTGCACATGTGATTTTAAAGAACAGTTATATAGGGTTTCAAGCCTAGTCCTAACCAATACCACTAAAATTTGAGCTCCTGGGCTTATCAAGACATGACTGGATATGAAAGACCACTTGCAAAATATCTTCTGATCATAACTCCTTTTACATAAAGTGGTGCCTCGCTTAACAAGGATAATCCGTTCCAGCGAAATCATTGTAGAGCGGAATCCTCGTTAAGCGAAATAAAAAATCCCACTGAAACACATTGAAAACCTGTTCAATGTGTTCCAATGGGCTGAAAAACTCACCATCCAGCGAAGATCCTCCATAAGGGCAGCCATTTTCGGTGCCTGTAAAGCGAGGAATCCGTCCAAAAACACAGTGGGGAGCCATTTTACACAGCGGGCAGCCATTTTGAAGCCGCTGATCAGCTGTTTTAAAAATGTCGTAATGCGAAGAATCGGTTCCTGAAGCAGGGAACCAAAGTGGATTTTGCCTATTAAAACATTGTTTTGCGATCGCAAAACAGTCATCGTATAGCGGTTCCATTGTTTAACAAGGCAATCGTTAAGCGAGGCACCACTGTAATTCCTTTCTCACAGGAGAAGAAGAAACCACATCCAATGGGACTGGAACTGTATTCTGTCACAAAGGCTTGAAAAGTTACCTTTCTGAAAAGCAACTCTCAGAACTGCCCAGCCAGCATAGCCCATAATCTAGATGCTTATGGTACTTTGGGGCGGGGGAAGAGGTAAAATTCCCCTAGCTCAGCCGGTCACCTAAGTGGGAACTGCTGCTCACCACTGGTGAATGAATGAATAACTAACTAACTAGAACAATCAGTGATCTGCTTTGGAATGTTTTGTATTTCAAGGTGAGCATCAGATGGGAAAGAGATGGACAAGATGACCTTTTGCACTCTGGAACTAAAAAAATGCCAATGAAATAAATGAATGCATTATTCTGCAAATGCAATGGAGATAACTTTAGTATAGAGACAATAGAGTTATACACCCAAGGATTAATATGGATCTCTGAGATGGTTTATGGACCACAAGTACAGGTACAAATAACCAACAAAAAGGTCAAGTAACTGAATGATCAAAACACTGACATTCACAGTTGTTTTCTTGGAAAATGGCTTGCCTCTTTGTTACAAATGGCGACAGCTGTGCCCAGTATGACATTTTTACACAGTTCTTTTCCTTTTGGTTAATGATGCTTGGCTTTTAAAAAAATCATTTTAGGATCTTGCATCTAGACTGCAGTCGACTGAGAACCAGCAGACCTCCCTCCCTCAATAATAATGCTAATATGCATAACGACGAATAAGCCCCCATTAGCATAATGGCTAAAAGCCCTTTGCATATTATTTGCACAACGCATCTCCCAAACACCTCTAGAAGCAACTGCCAAGATGAAATCTCTTATTGTTTGCTCAGCAATGGGCATGGAAAGTTCTGTTTCAGTCACGGTCTCTGGTCTCTGAAGACATACTTGGAAATATGTCGCTCCCCTGTGACATGTTACTTAGCTGTGACTTTGTTTTCATTAAGTACTGTGCCCTCCTGTACATAATTCTTTCCTGCTCTTGTTTCAGCTCAATGTAGGAGCGGGAAAACGTGTGGAAGATGGACGTGACAGGAAAGGCCATAAGAAGGATGCCACTCAGGATGCTGCTCAGGGCTACCACCTGGCCTGGGATGCTTCTGGGTACCATATCGCCGTAGCCTACTGTTGTCATGGTGATCACTGCCCACCAATAGGAAGCAGGGATGCTGGTGAACTCCTGAGAGTCTGCCATCTCGTTTTCAATCACGTACAAGAGGGGTGCGAACAGTGCAATGGCTACACAAAGGAACAGTAGCAAGAGGCCAAACTCACGGGTGCACCTGCGTGCCGTGAGCCCCAAAGTCTGCAGACCAAGGGAGTGCCTAGCAAGCCGCATGACATACAGAATCCTCAAGGCCCGGAGTATGCGGAGCACCAGGCCAACCTTGTCCAGGTAAATGTTGCCAGAGCTTGGCTTTTTATTACTACCCACAGAAGCACTGTCGAGAAGTAAAGTGATGTAATAGGGCAGGATGGCAACAATATCGATCAAGGTCAACGGATTCCTCAGAAACACAAATTTGCTTGGTGCCTGGATGAACCTCAAAAGAAACTCCAAAGAAAACCATCCGACACAGACCGATTCAACGATGAAAATGTTGTAGCACATCTGAGAACATTCGCCCTGGAGTGGAAGAGAAGGATATGTGTGAGCTCTTTGAACTTAGTTTGGCAACTCAGAGGGACATTTTGTTCAGAACATTAACAAGTGCTTGGCTTAGATGAGGCCAAATGCCATTTAGTTCAGCATTCATCTTCCAACTGTGGATAGTCATGCAGTGGTGCCTTGACTAATGAACTTAATTGGTTCCGGAACTCCAGTCGTAACTCGAAATGGTCGTAAGTCAAAGCACCATTTCCCATAGGAATGCATTGAAATGCAATTAATCCGTTCCGGCTGGAAAAAATAAAAATAAAAATAAAAATAAAAAATCACTGCAAGAACCATAAGAAATGCGATTAATCCCTTCCGGCTAAAGGGGGGGGGGAAGCAAGCAAAGCATTCAAGACCCATCGGAAATGCAAAGAAAGCAAAGCAAAGAGCAAGCAGAGTGTGCAAGACCCACCGGAAATGCAAAGAAAGCAAAAAGCAAACAGAACATGCAAGACCCATTGGAAATGCAAAGAAAGCCAAGCAAAAAGCAAGCAGATCATGCAAGACCCATCAGAAATGCAAAGAAAACAAAGCAAAAAGCAAGCAGATCGTGCAAGACCCATCAGAAATCTAAATAAAGCAAAGCAAAAAGCAAGCAGAGCATGAAAGACCCATCAGAAATGGAAAGAAAGCAAAGAGCAAGTGAACTGTGCAAGACCCATCGAAAATGCATAGAAAGCAAAGCAAAAAGCAACCAACCCCCCAAGACCCATCGGAAATGAGGAAAAAAACAACAAAAAGCAACCAAACTCCTCAAGACCCATCGGAAATGGGGGAAAACCCCAAAAGCAAGCAAACCCCCCAAGAACCATCAGAAATGGGGGAAAACCAACAAACCCCTGAAGACCCATCACAGCACAGAAACATAACCCCCCCAAGCCCAAAACCACACTGCAAAAACACCCATAACAGTTTTTAAAAAGCAGAAAGCAGCACCTTACCTTACCAGGCAGTCTGAAGCCTCCTCTGATAGCACTCACTCTAACTGTTGGGGCGAAAGAGCTACAAAGAAGCAGCCTCTTCGCCTACCAATGGTTAGCAATTTGAATTTCCTGCCTTTTTCCCCTGCCCTTTTCTGTTCGTAACTGGAACCTCCGGCCACAATTCGAAGCAAAATTTTGCGGCCAGAGCTGGTCGTAAGTCGAAATGGTTATAAGTCGAGGCACCACTGTATATCCTTGGAAAGCCAGGACAATAAGGCGATTGCCTATTCTCATACCCAGGTTTGGTGTTATGAAGCAGGCAGCCTCTGTTCAGCACAGGGTTGGGGACCATGAGGTTCTGCGCATGATGTGGGGCTCCAATTTCCATAATCTCCTATCAGTGATTATGCCAACTATGACTAATGATAGTTGCAGTCCAACTACATCTGGAGAGGCACACTCTCCCCGGCCCTGATTCAGACCCCATGACAAACATCCACTGTTAGAATTATTCTTCATGAAATGGTCTAATCCGTTTTAAAAGTCACCAAAGCTAGAATCCTCCAAGCGCTTTTCTGTACCCAGGTCGGAGAGAGCTCCTTGAGAACTTCAGCAACTGCAGGAGACCCCATGAGTTCTGAATCCCTTTTCTCCTGAAACTGTTTCAAATATAATGTCACTCAAGCATTTCCGTTCTCAAAATCTTGTTTCTTTTTCAACATCTCCCAGTTACCTCCTCTTTCTTACTTTCTCCAGTTCCCTCAGGAATATACCTGCCGGTAACTTACTCACCAGTAGGCATGTTCCACCATATTCCCCTTCCATTTTTTTTCAATTAACCAATACTTCACTGTAGTCTTTCCCAACCAGGCACCCTTTAAATGTAACGGATTAGAACAACAATTATACCTGACCAGCAAGCCACAGGCTATGCTGACTAGGAGGATGGGTGGCTACAGTGAAGTGATGCTTGCATAATTATGTTGTAAACTGCCCGGAGAGTGTGAGCACTATGAGGTGGTATATATTTATTTATTTATTTATTTAGTTACCAATCCATTTCTGGGCCCAATTCAAGGTGCCTATAACTTATAAAGTCCATATGGGTTGTGTCCTGGCTATCTGAAGAACCATATTTCTCCATATGAGCCTTCCTGGCTCTTTAAGATCTTCAGAGGAGGCCCTTCTCTTGGTCCCATTACTATCACAGATGAATTTGGAAAGAAGAGAGGGCCTTCTCTTTGGGTGCTCCCAGGTTGTGGAATGCTCTCCTTTGGGAGGTCAGGTTGGCCCCCTCCCATTTACCCATCTGCCAACAGTGGAAGATCCACCTCTTTAAGCGGGTTTTTAATAACGATGATCGACATGCTAGATGCTTTATTTTTCCTACATCTGTTTTTAAAGTATTAAATGATTTTCAATTAAATAATGGATTTTTCATTATTACATGTTTTATTGCCTTTCTATCTGTCACTTATTGTGCTTTTAATATTATTTCTGTTAACAGTTCAGGTCAGGCAAAAACAAAAGAAAAGTAAAAAATTAAGAAGAAAAAATCTTGTGGCACCATAAAAACTAACTAAGTGGTGCCTCGACTTACAACTGTCTTGACTTGCAATCAATCTGAGTTACAACCAGCTCCGGTTGCAACATTTTGCTTTGACTTGCAACCGACGCTTTGAGATACAACTGGAAAAAAAGCCTTTTCCCCCACTGTCCCCTCCCTCCTTTCCTGCCCGTTTTTTAACTTTAGAGGTCATCTTAGGTTTTTAAAAAAGTTTCTCCCTAATGGACGGATTAACTGCTTTTGCATTAGTCCCTATTTTTCGTCCCTGCTGGAATGGGGTTCTTTATTTTTTTTAGACTCCAAACTCTCCCCCCCTCCAATTGTCTTCTCTCTCTCCTCTTTATTTTTCTGCCTAAAAGCACAAACCTTTGTCCCAACTGTCTTCTCTCTCTCCTCTCTATTTTTGTGCCTAAAAGCACAAACCTTTGTCCGAGAGGTCTATCTACCCCAGTGGTTGCCTTCTTTCTTTCCTCTTTTCCTCATTGTTCCCTCCCTCCCTTCCTTCCTGCTCTTTTTTTAACTTTTAAAATGGCCAGAATGGATTAATTGCGTTTCACTGTATTCCTATGGGAAATGGTGCTTTGAGTTACAACCAACTTGAGTTACGACCATCATCCCAGAACGAATTAAGTTTGCAACTCAAGGCACCACTGTACTATATTTTAATGTGAGCTTTTGTGGACAAGCTCATTTCCTCAGACATAAGTATGTGAAGTCACCACAAAAGATACTCTTAGTATTGTCATGCCTGCCATCTATGCTCTGACAAAATTTTATTTTTATACTCAGCATTCTTCTATTCCAGGGCAGAATCAGGTCCATGATTGCTTACCTTCAGTAGTACTGCAATATCCCATGTTCTTCCCTAGGCCATTAACTGGGTTTAAGATTAGGGTTTATAAAAAGCAAACGAGGTAGCAGAAGAGCATGCTTTTGTGAAACATTCCTTGAGATTTGCCAGGACAGACATCAACTAAACAAGTTTCCCAAGCAGTTATTTAAAAAATAAAGATTTATATAATGACCAGAATTGTGCTGCTGGTTTATACATGCATAACTTGTATGTACACAACTCACTAAGGTATACTGCTGCTAATGAGGTGCTGGTTGCATTTATTATTCATTCCTTTATCCCTTCACTATTTTACTACATTTCTATGACATCTTTCTCCCACTGAAGGGACCCAAGCTGGCTCACAATTTATTAACCACCAGCGAAAACCACAATAAATTATTGCATTAAAACAATTTAAACATATAATAAAATAGTTAACAATCCATTGAAACTACTTTAAGAAAACCCTTAAAAAGACACTAAACACATACAAAATAATAACATGTAGCAGAACTCTTAACTGGCCAGTTAGCAGTTAAAAGCCTGTCTAAAAAGGACAGTCTTCACCTTTCACTGAAAGAACAAGAGTGATGAGACCAACCTACAGCCTCCCAGGGAGCACATTACAGAACCTGAGAACAACCACAGAGAAGGCCCTCTATCTCGTTTCCACCTGATGTATGTAGCTGTGAAGGTAGCTGCCCCTATCAAAGAACCAGTTACAAGATTCTTTGTAATTATTATCTGCTCTGATAATAACTGATTCAACTACCTTCCTACTTGGGCATCTAATCTTCCACCACTGCCTCTTGTTTCATCATCAATAGCTCAGTGGTTTAGGGATCTGGCTGCACAGCCCAAGGTTGGGAGTTTGATCCCCCCACCCCCGTTGTGCCTCCTTGACAGGGGCTGGACTTGATGATCCATAGGATCCCTTTCAGCTTTGCAATTCTAAGATGATGATGAGAATGATCACAGAACATTATCTTACACTAGATGGGATTAATGGGAGATATAGTTCAAAACATCTGGAGGGCATCAAACTGGGTAACCAATAGTAAACCACTTCTGAATACTCAATACCTAGAAAACTCTGGAAAGAGTTGCCATGAGACAGAATCTACTTGACAGTACATAATTCTTAGTACTTTATAGTAAAACTTAAGAGATATAATTTTGAGATGTTTGGGCACTTTAGTGGAATCACCCCAGCTCTCAAACTGCTCTGGGTGCAAGTAAAGTGTTCTGGCCAGATGACACATAAAGAAAATTTGGTCCTCCCATTCTACTAGGCATACAAGCTGGATGGTTTTGTATTGATCCAGACGCCACCTCTGCCCACCCCCATTTCTCAGAGGAGTTTTTCACATGTATTAAAAAACAGCATAAAAAAGGTGTAAGCCCCTTCATGCAATAAGCCTGCGTGAGCCAAGGAGATGAGGAGGAAAGGAAAAGGTAATCAGTATGCCTTCATATATTTAGGTGATTCTTCTATGACACCCTGATGCTGGAAAATATTTAACATGCTAACCTGACAGTCCAACCCTTGAACTCCCATTGTTTAGCATAACATCAAGTTACAAAGCCTTTGAATTGTGGTGCTGGAGGAGGCTCTTGAGAATCCCCTGGACTGCAAGGAGAACAAACCTATCAGTTCTAAAGGAAATCAACCCTGAGTGCTCACTGGAAGGACAGATCCTGAAGCTGAGGCTCCAGTACTTTGGCCATCTAATGAGAAGAAAAGACTCCCTGGAAAAGACCCTGATGTTGGGAAAGTGTGATGGCAAGAGGAGAAGGGGACGACCGAGGATGAGATGGCTGGACAGTGTCTGCGAAGCAACCAAAATGAACCTGACACAACTCCGGGAGGCAGTAGAAGACAGGAGGGCCTGGCGTGCTCTGGTCCATGGGGTCATGAAGAGTCGGACACGACTAAACGACTAAACACACAAAGCCTACATGCCAACATGGAAACCTAAATACTGTCAATAAAGTGAATCCTGCTATGCACGGTGACAAGGTAGTTAGCTATGTACAACAGCGGCCCTCAACCTTGGGCCTCCAGATGTTCTTGGACTTCAACTCCCAGAAATCCTGGCCAGCAGAGGTGGTGGTGAAGGTTTCTAGGAGTTGTAGTCCAATAACATCTGGAGTCCCAAGGTTGGGGGACCACTGATGTACAAGATTGCTTCATAGAGCAATGTTTCCCATCTTGATTCAACTTACTTTTTCCTCTTCTTCTCTTAAGCTAGGCATAGTGCTGATTGAAAGGTTGACTGCAGTGATAGTCACAAACAGCACTGATAAACAGGCAAACACTTTCCCAGGAATTCCAGATTGAGGTCTTTCCACCATGTCGTGTAATTTTTTCATGCATAGGCCAGATTTGGTCTCTGCTATGGCATCACATTGGTTTTCACTATCTATAAATTCATCCTCTGTTTCATTCAGTTCTGCAAATTCCTCCATTTTCTGCAGGTAACGCCTCTTGCAGCACCATTCCAGGTTGTCTTCCTCGATGCCCCAGTAAAGCAGCTCCTCTTGAAATGAAAGAGTGCACATCTCTCTCAACAGCCGAAGCTTCCCTGCCCGCAGGAAAGTCAAGATGGTCCTAAACGCCCCTGGGTTACGGTCAAAGAAGAACTCATTGCAGGTCACGTCATAATCATCACAAATGTTGAGGATGTCATCAAAGTTGTTGCAAAATTTTAGCTGTCCCAAGCGGGTCATGGGAAACTCATCCAGAGTGGTCCAAGGGAGCAAATATTTAAAGCCCCCAACATTGATAATTATGTGATGCTTCCGGTCTTCTGGGTGAACAAATTCATAGAGTTCTTCTTGAGGGTGGATGAATTTTGCTCTTTGGTAAAAGACTCCTTTCAGAGTTTCTGTTTCAGCAAAGAAAGGATGGTGGAAGGAGGCATCTGAAGCACAGCTCAAGGCACTGTAATCATAGTCTGAGTTTTCCCCTGGTAAAAGAGTCATCTTGATCACCAGGTCACCTCACATCACCTTGGTGCTCCAGCTATAGCTCTCTGCAAAAGAAGGGGAAAAGAAAGAGTTGAGGTCTCAGTGGGTGTGTCTCCACTCCCTGCTCTCTCTCCAAACGTTGGCAAGGATGCCCAATAAAGTATGGAAGACATGAACACACAGAAAGGTTAGCAGGGTATGAATATTAATAAATGACAAGGATTTATTATGGGAAGGCATCTGGATAAATAGGGGCATTGGGAAACTGGCAGTCCAGGTGGTGGTGGAAAGTGCAAGCAAAACCTATCTGCTCTTGTGAGCAGGTACCGCTCTCATCCCTGGCAGAGCTGGTGGTCTTGGACAAGATCTCGTCGCTTGTCCCAGCTCCTGCCAACCTAGCAGATTGAAAGCATGCAAATGCAAGTAGATAAATAGGTACCACTGCGGTGGGAAGGTAACGGCATTCCGTGTCTAGTCGCGCTGGCCACGTGACCACGGAAACTGTCTACAGACAAACACTGGCTCTATGGCTTGGAAACGGGGATGAGCACCGCGCCCTAGAGTCGGACACAACTGGACATTTGTCAAGGGGATCCTTTACCTTTACCTCCCTGTCACTGTCCTCCTGCACCCAGGGGATTGGCTTTCCCATGCTAGTCTCCTGGAAACAGTAAGTTCCGAAATAGCCTCAGTTCCCATCACTGAGGCAGTCCTTGTAATAAACAAGTCCCATTTAGAGTTGGTCTTGGAGCCTTTCAGCAAGGGCTGGCAAAGTCAGCTCGTATGTTTCAGCTGTTCTCCCGCTTATCAGCACTTTGGTTGTGAGGATGGGTACCACCAGACCCATCGGTCATCTCGGGCATCAAACATTGGTGGGGCAGGTACCTTTCCTGAGGATAGGGTAGTAGGAACCCCTCTTCCCTGGCCTCTACCACTATTATGCTGGGAAGCAGATCAGAGGCTCCTGCCAGGGGTAATCATCCTTCTTCCAGGCCAATTTTTTGAAAGTAGAGAGGATAGGCTCCAATTCCTCTGCCGCAGACCGCCAGGTCTCTCCTTGGCTGACCCCTTACCCAGCACTGGAGATATACAAGGCCCTGGCATTTTGCCTCCATGCTTCTTTAATGCCACCAGCATGCCTTACTCCTCTCTGACCAGCTGTTCCCTCTCACCCTTCTCCCCAGTGACATGAGGGCTTTCCTCCTCTTGCAAGGTCAGAGCTACAACTCTGCCCATACTCTCAGAGCGCTGCGAGGCAAGGGCTGATGACCTGCCAGGACCTGCTCACAGCTCCCAATGGTGCGAACCAAAGAGAATCTGCTTTTATTAGAGGGTGCCCTGAATGGAGCTTGGAAGATTTGCCTTTTTGGATGACAATTCTTAGAATCTATGATTTTAGAATCTATTATTCTGCAAAACTGATGATTCTGTGAATCCATATAAGTAACTTTGCATGTTCTGGTCCTAGAGGGAAAAGAACCCATTTTACAGACCTAGCATTGGGTAGCTTTTGCAGAGCTGCTTTCTAGTGGCCTCTGAGCCAATGTTAACGGTGTCTATAACTTTCTGTTTTGTTTTGTTTTTTTGCAAAGCTACTAGATTCTGATTTAGGGCTACTTGAGGTCAATCTGCAAACATCTGAATATTCTCCAAACCATTCAGTTGTATTTATGCAGCTCTTGAAATACTTTTTCCGAGTGCTTTTAAACAAACAATCAAAAACAAAACAAATAATCTGCTTTTTAATACCAAATAATGAGTCTGGGTTTGCAATTCAAAATAATGTTAACAATAAAAATTTTATAATCTGATGTAAGTTTTAAAAATCATGCTAATTAAAAATTAAGGGTTTTTTCCTAATGTAAAAAGTTTCATTTATTTTTACATACTGATTTGTAAAAAAAAAAAACTGGGGAAGAATTTAAGTTTCCCAAATACAGTATATACTTTTATACTTTCTACACTTGGAGACTGCATAGGGATCAGACAACAAACAAAATTATACTTAAGTTGTCCATATGTGCACATTCAATTCATGAAAACTACCACTGCACTACTAACAATTCTGGATGGAGGCCTGGCAGCTGGGGTGGTGGAGAACATGTAATATGCAGAACTGCATCCAACTTGGATCTGACCTTTATGCTGGAGCCTTTCTCTTGAAAACAGCAAGTGTTCTAAATGCCAGTTAAACTTAATGAATCAAGCACTCCTAGTGGGGGGCAAGGCCAGCAAAAATGGAGCCATGTATTTGTGGCTCAGGAGGAACTATAAGCAACAACCAGCTAAAGGAAATCAACTCTTTTCTTGTCTCATCCATCAATTTACTCTTTGCCAGGTGATTTAGTCACTTAATCTAAATTATTGATGGAGTAAATGCCATTGCCACTGCACTGCTGACAGGTAGCCGCCTAGCCTCTATTTATAGATTTCTAACAATGGTGACAATCACCTTTTGAGGCAGTCTTTCAAGTAGTTCATATGCATAGAAAGTTCCTTCTAATATTTAATTGGAATACCATTCCATGCAGTTGAAACCTGATGGTTTTGTCTCACTATGTGGACCAAAAGAGAAAAACACTGGCCCCACCATCGACAGAATTCATCTATAATCAACAGTTATAGCAGTTCCAGCTTAATTATGATCCTAGGATTGCTAGTCTAGGGAATCCCGGGATTTCATCATATCCTGGGATTCTCTGCACACAATTCTAAGTACCTCATACACATGCTATGATTCCTTAGGAAGAACCCATGACTTTACAGGAGTTGATTTCCAGGCCCATTAACCATCTTCTGCTACATTCTAGCATCTGTATTTTCCTCTAGACACATTCCAGTTTATCAATATCATCTTCCTGGAAATATGGTCTCTTGTATATTACTCAGAACAGAATAAAAATGGAACTACACAATCTCATGAGCTGAATATTAGACATCCATCTACACAACCTAGAACTGCACTTCTTGTCCTTACATGATCACACACTAGAATCCTACTGGGAATTTGCTCTGGAATAAGTAAAATCGTGTAAGTCACAGTAACAAACTTAAGCTAATGAATAAAACCCCAGTCATGGGATTGGCACACAGCCAGCCATTTGACCAGCCTCTTGGTAATTAGGTGCAATGTGCCACCACGATCATGTGATTTCACATCCTCCACAGTACAATCTTGGTACTGTAATTAGGTGCAATTTGCCACCACAATCATGTGATTTCACATCCTCCACAGTACAATCCCAGTAAGGTTCTCACATGTATTTCAGAAATGAAGTTTCCACTGCAAGAAGCTTACAGTCTACATTTAATGAGCAGAGAAAACAACAGAGAAAGCTGTATTTCAGAAATGAAGTTTAATGAGCAGAGAAAACAACAGAGAAAGGAAGAATGCAACAGGACTGCAAAGTAACAGGAAGTGCATATCTGCAAGTTCTGGTGCATCTCTTTAGGCTCAGATCAGTTTTGATACTGATTGATGATAAAGGGGATGAAAGATTTATCATGGAAGAAACAAGATGGTATTTTTTTCTCCTACCACATACTTTTAAGATCAATTAAACCAGCAGTCCCCAATCTTTTTATCCCTGCGGACCGACTGGGGAAGGCGGGGCGCCCCCCCCTGTGCTGATGCGCCTGCGCAAAGGCGCACTCTCTCTCTCTCGTGCGCAGGTGCAAAGGGTGGCACAGTGCTTGTGTGGGTGGGTCCCCAATCTTTTTATCCCCGCGGACCGACTGGGGAAGGCGGGGTGCCCCCCTGTGCTCATGCGCATGCGCGAAGGAGCACTCTCTCTCTCATGCGCAGGTGCAAAGGGTGGCACAGTGCTTGTGTGGGTGCTCGCCCACTTGCACGCAGGCACAAAGGGCTGTGCAGGGTGAGTGCATGCAGGGGTCACCCACTTGCATGCAGGCACAAAGGGCTGTGCAGGGTGAGTGCATGCAGGGGTGGGGGGAGGTCTCTCTCCGTCGCCTGGTCCGACAGAATCAATTTGAGGGCTCCACTTGCTAACCAACTATGCTCTGTTCCAAACCACGCTTTTGTGACTGAATCTGTCCCTTTTCATCACTACCCCTGATATAAATTAGATTACAGGAACACAATAAGCTGCATTTGAGAATCAGACTCCCTGGTCCATCTAGACTCGCAGTGGCTCTCTAGAGTTTCAGGGTATTTATACTGAGAGTCAGACCCCTGGTCCATCTAGACCAGTGCTGTCAACACTGACTCGCAGTGGCTCTCTAGAGTTTCAGGGTAGGATTCATTTCTGGAGATACCTGATACTGTATTCTTGAAGGCTTTCACAGCCAGGATCCGATGGTTGTTGTGGGTTTTCCAGGCTCTTTTGCCATGTTTTGAAGGTTGTTCTTCCTACCGTTTCGCCAGTCTCTGTGGCTGCAATCTTCAGAGGACAGGAGTCAGAACTCTACCAAAGCACAGAGTTCTGACTCCTGTCCTCTTAAGATGCTGGCCACTGAGACTGGTGAAACGTTAGGAAGAACATACCTGATATTCTCTGGTTGTTTCCTGCTCATCTCCTAAACAAGACAATCTTTTTAAAGCACTGAAATCAGTAAAAACCGTGTGTGTAGAATGGTACAGTGCTTCTGAAGGCTTACTGTCTGCCCACCACTGTTTTGTTGTTGTTACATGCTGTCAAGTTGACTCCAACTTATGGCGACCCTATGAATGACCGACCTTCAAAATATCCTTTCCTTAACAGTCTTGTTCACCTCTTGCAAACTCACACCTGTGGTTCTTTCATGGACTTAATCCCATTTCATATTTGGTCTTACACTTTTCCTGCTGCCTTCAACCCTTTCTAGCATGGTCTTTTCCAGAGAATCTTGCCTTGTCATGGTGTGCTCAAAGTATGACAGCTTCAGCTTCAACATTTTTGTCTCCAGAAATATGACAGCTTCAGCTTCAACATGTTTGTCTCCAGAGATCCAGTTCAGCTTTGATTTGTTCAACAACCCACTTGTTTGACTTTCTGGCAGGAAAATCCTTGGTGATCTATAGAACTCCTATTCAGGTTGGCTGACAGGAAATGACCAAAAAAATCAT